TCTTTTCATCCAATAGACACTTCATAAAGCAAAAGTTCTTAATTTTGTAAGTCCAATTTATCCATTTTTTCTTTTGTGGATTGTACTTTTAATGTTGTATCTCCAAAATCTTGGCTTAACAAAAAATGAAAATGATTTTTCCAATGTTTTCTTCCAAAAGTTTTATAGTTTTAGCTTTTACATCTAGATCCTTGATCCATCATAAGATAATTTTTGTATATGTTGTAACATTTGTTGAAAAGACCATCCTTTTTCTCAATGGAATTGGCTTTGCCCTTTATTGAAACAAACTGACCTAATATATATGAGTCTGCTTTGGGACTATTCTTTTTCATTGATTTGTCTAAACACCAATAATCCTATTTTGAATACTACAGCCTTATAATAAGTCTTGAAATCAAGTAGTGTTAGTCTTAGTACTTTTATTTTTCTTTTGCAAAGTTATTTTTGGCTACTCTAGGTCCTCTGCATTTTCATACAAATTTTACAATCAGATAATCAATATCTATCCCAAAGGCTGTTGGGATTTTGATTGGAATTGCATTGAATCTATACATCAATTTGTAGTAAATCAACATTTAATAATATTGAGTCTTCTAATCCATAATTGCAGTATGTCTTTCCATTTATTCAGGTCTTCTTTCATTTCTCTCAGCAGTGTTTTATGATTTTCATTGTATAGGTTTTGAACGTCTTTTGTCAAGTTTATTTTCAAGTATTTCATATTTTCTTTATATTATTATAATAGTAATTTTTAAAATTTCAATTTCTGATTGTTCATTGCTGGTATATTGATTTCTATATATTGATCTTGTATCCTGCAACCTTGCTAAACTCATTTTTAATTCTAATAGCTTCTTGTAGATTTCATAGCATTTTTCTACATAGATGCGCACGTCATTTGAGAATACAGTTTTACTTCTTCCCTTTTTTTAAAGATTTTATTTTTAAGAAATCTCTACACCCGATGTGGGGCTTGAACCCACAACCCTGAGATCAAGAATAGCATGCTCCACCAACTGAACCAGCGAGACACCCCTACTTCTTCCTTTCTAATCTGGATATCTTTTATTATTACTTTTTATTGTCTTATTGTACTGGATAGAACCACCAGTTTAATGTTGAATGAAGAGCTGAAGGCAAACATCTTTGCCTTGTTCCTGATGTTAGGAGGAAAGGATTCAATCTTTTACCATTAAGTATGAGTAGATGTATCTTAGATATCCTTTATCATGTTGAAGGGGTTTCTTTCCTTTCCTAGTTTAAGTTTTTAATGTTCTTATTAGGAATTAGATTTTATTAAATGCTTTTTCTGTATTATTAAAATGATGAATAACCCATGGGTTTTCTTTTTTACTCTATTAGTATGGTGATTGATTTTTTTTTTTAAAAGATTTTGTTTATTTGACAGAGAGAGATAGCGAGAGAGGGAACGCAAGCAGGGGGAGTGGGAGAGGGAGAAGCAGGCTTCCCGCTGAGCAGGGAGCCCGATGCGGGGCTCACTCCCAGGACCCTGGGATCATGACCTGAGCCGAAGGCAGACACTTAACCGACTGAGCCACCCAGGCGCCCCTGGTGATTGATTTTTGAATGTTAAACTAATCTTAAATTCCTGGGATAAATCCTTTGTCATGATGTTTTATCTTTTTAAAATATATTATTGGATCCAATCTGTTAACACTTTTATTAAGAATTTTTGCACCTGTGCTCATAAGGATATTTAGTCTGTAGTTTTCTTATGATTTTTGACTGGTTTTGGTATCAAGAGTAATGCTGGCTTCATAGACTGAGCTGGGAAGTAGTTTCTCCTCTTCAATTTTCTGAAAGAGTTTGCATAGAATTGTTATGTTTTGGGGGTGCCTGAGTGGCTCAGTCAGTTAAGTGTATGCCTTCAGCTCAGGTCATGATCCTAGGCAGAAAGCCTGCTTCTCCCTCTGCCTGCTGCTCCCCCTGCTGCTTGTGCTCTCTCTGTCAAATAAAGTCTTAAAAAAAAAAAAGAATTGTTATGTTTTCCTTAAATATTTGGTAGAAATTACCAGTGAAGCCATCTAGGCCTGGATTTGTTTTGTAGAAAGGTTTTTAACTATAAATTCAATTTTTTTGATGTTCATTTCTATTTATTATTTTTATTGTGATAAAATATACATAACATAAAATTCACCATTCTAACCATTTAAAGATTTAAGGCTACAATTCAATGACATTAAGTCCATTCACAATGTTGTGCAACTATGGCCACTATACATTTCCAGAACTTTTCATCATCCCAAATAGAAACTTTATACTCATTAAATAATAACTAGCTTCCCCAGGCTCTGTATTCTACTTTGTCTCTATGAATTTCTCCTCTATTTTGCTTTCTGCCTCTTTGAATTTAATATTAACTGTGGCCACTTTACTCAAGTGATGTCTGCCAGGTTGCTCTATAGTAGACTTGCACTTTTTTCCTTTATGATTGATAAGTGCTTTGTGGAGAGATACTTTGAGACTACATAAATATTTCCTTCTTAATAAAATGTTTGCCCACTAGTTTAGTATCCCCTAATGTTTCCTTGCTGTGGCAAGTCTAGGTACTTCAATTAAGCAGAATCATAAATATTTCTCCTTTTATGTGTGTTTTATTTCACTTAGCATGTTTTTAAGTCTCATCCATGTTGTAGCATGTATCAGGATTTTCATTCCTTTTTATTGCTAAATTAATATTCCATTGAATGCATAGATCACATTTTGTTTATCTGTTCATCTGTTGATAGACACATTTCCAACTTTTTGCTACTGTGAATAATGCTGCTATGAACACTGATGTACAAGTATCTGAGTCCAAGTTTTTAATTCTTTTGGGTATATACCTAGCTCATCTTTATTTATTCTTGAATGAGCTTTGGTAGTTTCTATCTTTCAAGGAATTAGTCTACTTCATTTATGTTGTTTAATTTATTGACATAAAATTGTTCACAATATTCCTTTATTATCATTTTTATGTCTTTAGAATTTGTTGTGATGTCACCTTTCTCATTCTGGGGATTGGTGGGATTTTTGTCTTCTCTCTTTTTTTTCTTAATCAGTCTGGACAGAGATTTCAATTTTATTTTTCTTTCAAACAGTGTTTGGTTTCATTGATTTAAATCTACTGTTTTTCTACATTCTATTTATTGCCTTATGCTCTGATCTTTATTATTTCATCTGCTTACTTTGAATTTCATTTGATCTTCTTTTTCTGGTTTCTGGTTAAGGTGGAAGCTGAGATCACTGAGTTGAAACCTTTCTTCTTTTCAGATACAGGCATTTAGTGCTAAAAATTTCCTCCTAAGTAAAGCTTTAGCTGTATTCCCAAAAACTTTGATATGCTTTTCTTTCATTTTCCTTCAGTTTCAGCATTTTCTAATCTTGCGTTTCTTCCCTTTGTCCAGTGAGTTATATGGAAGTGTGTGGTTTAATGCCCCCAAATTTGGTGGATCTTCCAGATACCTTTTTATTGTTGATTTCTAATTCAACTGAGGTTGTCTGAAAAAATTTATTTCACCTTTGTTTTTGAAAGATATCTTCAATGATATAGAATTCGAGGTTGACAGTTTTTTACAAGTACTTTAATGAATTTTCTCCACTTTTTTCTGGTTTATACCATTTCTAGTGAGAAACCTCTCATATTTAATCTTTTGTTTTTTTGTACATAATACGTCTTTTTTCTCTAGTTACTTTTAAGTATGATTGTCTCTCTCTCTCTCTTTTTTTTTTAAGATTTTATTTATTTATTTGACAAAGAGAGACACAGTGAGAGAGGGAACACAAGCAGGGGAATGGGAAAGGGAGAAGAAGGCTTCCCGCGGAGCAGGGAGCCTGATGTGGGGCTCGATCCCAGAACCCTGGGATCATGACCTGAGCCAAAGGCAGATGCTTAACAACTGAGCCACGCAGGTGCCCCTAAGATTTTCTCCTTTAATACTGGTTTTAAACAATTTGATTATGATGTGCCTTAGTATAGTTTTCTTCGTGTTTCTAGTGCTTGAGGTTAACTGAACATCCTGGATCTGTAGTCATCCTATCTGCTTAGAATCTGATATTCCATGCCATGCCACTGCCACCCCTACCCCCACATGGATGCCTATTATCAAATTTATTGATTTTTGCCTGTAAGATTGGTGAAAAATGTTATCTCAGGGTAATTTTAATTTGTATTTCTCAAGGGAGTCCAGGTATTTAATTGTTCAAAAGTTACTTGTATCTTCTTTTCTTTGAACTGTCTGATCATATCCTTTGTTCAACTATTGTGTTGGTGTATTGATCATTTTCATATTGATTTATCTGTATCTTTTACATTTTCCATAATGAGCATGTATTTTTTGGGCAATAAGATACAACATACAGTTATTTTTAATAAAAAAAGTCTTAAAATATCCATAGTTTCCTGGTATCAGAAAAATAGTCACAACTCATGCAACCTAGTATTTCATTATAGCTTCTCAGGGGCTTATTTTCATTTCTTTTTGTGGTGAAACCCACCTAGCTAATAGGGAGGTATATGTGCTTGAAAACGTGAGAGTCCCTCTGGGCTACCTATTTTCTGACAAGGAGCCCTGGAAATATCACAAACTTTCATATCTATAAAGCAATTTATAGCTCTTAGTCATGACTTCACTGGATCTTCCAATGGCCCTGGAGAGGCTGATAGGATCACTGACAATGAATCCCATTTTATAGATTTTGAACCCGAGGCCTGCAAAGATGAAGTGACTATATCATATGGAAGGTTAGATTTAGAAGTTATCTTAAAGATGATTTCATTCTATGTACTCGGCATCCCACAATTAGTAACAAAGGCAAAACTCTGGCTTGGGCCTGGGTGCTCATTCTAAAGACAGCAATCAAAGTGAGGATCCCTATTACTCTAAGTAGTCAAGAATAGCCTTTCTTCTTTAGAAGATTGCAGACCAAGCCCTTGGAAGGCCATGACTGGGCCACCATAGTGGGGGTGCTGGAGCCTAAGGTCTATCTATGCTCACCTTTGGCAGCAGTCAGCATGGTGGAGGCCAGTTCACATTGCTGTGATTCCAAGTGTCCAAGCGTGAACCAGCGAGGATAACGGCTGGGCACCACAGACACCATATGGTGAGGGTGAGAACTGTCGCCTGTAGAAGCTGAGTTTTCTAGAACAGGTAACCTAAAAGACCCAGGGAGAGTCATCAGCCACCATCCAGACCCTTGACATTCTGAGCTACCTTAGAGAAGTTTGTTCTTTGCTGGGAAGGAACTGGGCAGGAAAGGGTTAACTAAGAGCTTTAAAGGTTGTTTATCTGTTTGTTTTTTTTAATGTAGGCTCCATGCCCAGGATGGAGTCCCATGCAGGGCTAGAACTCATGACCTTGAGATCAAGAGCTGCACACCTAACTGACTGAGCCACCCAGGCACCCTGAGCCTTAAAGGTTTTAAAACCTAGAATACTATACTGTATGTGAGGTGAGTGCCTGGGCACTTGTAGAACTCAAGCTGAATACTTCTTACGGCAAATAGATTTGAAAGGCAGTTCAAAAGCCCTAAAATTACTTTTTAAAGTATAAGAAACATATGCCAAGGAATCCTTAGCAGTCCTTTTCTGGTTGAAGTGAAGAGCTTTCTCAGCCTTCTGATCTAACTAAAATTCTTCTATATGGTCTGCTGCATCCTAGAGGTCCACCTGCCTAATCCAAGGATCCTATTCTAGTTTGAAAATGAGATGACCATAGCTCACTGTTCTCAAGTCCTGGTATAGAAAGACTTATTTTTATTTCTTCCAGACACATCTGGTGACCTATGCCTGGGAACCATGACTCATTTGAGCTACAGAAGGGCTCAAACCCATTCTCAGGCTGCCTAATGGGCCCCAGAACAAAGATACTCAGGTCTTGGGTGCTCCATTTCTATTAAAAACTTAGGGGCTTCCTCAGGTGACCCACCAAGAGTACAACCAGGGAGCCAAATGGGTCACCAGCAAGGCATTCCATATAGGAATCCTAAATAATATGAATATGCCTGAGCTATTTTAGGTAGGCTTGGTCCAATATTTTTAGGTCTAATAGAATAGACAAAGAGGGAAGGAGAAGAAAGTGAGATAAACAAAGAAAAAGAGCAGTGAAAATTTCTGCTTTGATGGAGGCAACGGGGCTGGGAAAAGGGCTACCCACCTCATAGCACGTAAGGCTAATTTATAGGATAGGTCTGGATCATGAGGCAGCAGAGCTGAGAACAAATACTTGGCAAAGGTATGCATAGGAACACTCTCTCGGTGAATGACTTCTCCTAGACCACTGAAGGGGCCTCCTGCAGGAAGAAGATAGGACAGCCAGTTATTTATCCACATGCTTCTATTTGCCAACCTGGACTTGAGCTGTAGGATCCTGCACATGTTTGCTAGCCATGGGAACTTGAACTATACTTGAATGTAAAAAATGACGTTATACAGTGCTCTGTTAGAGAGGGGAACCCAGAGTTACAGGCCTAAGGCACTGTGACAAAAGCCCTTCTCTACTTACCTTCCAGTAGTAAGATGCATTGTTTCTGCAGTGTTTGCACTAGCTCATCGTCCAGCTGTAGCTCTTGAAGTCGACTCAGGAGCTGCTCCTCATTACGGCACACCTTGTCCTGTGCATAGAGGCCTTCAGGCATCACCCTCTGTTGACCCATCCCCATCAGAGCAACTTCCAGGGCCAATGACAGGTAGGACTCATGGCTGTTTGGGCAGCCTGTAGCCACAGGTACATGCTGGTACACAGGGGGTCTGCTTTCATTCATATCTGAGGGCAAGAGGGGACCAGATTCTTTAGGTCAGCTCTGTGGATTCTTCTGCTCCTCTCTCCCTCCCACTTTGGAATACAGTTAGGTCAGCAGATATCATAGGGAAGCTGTCAGAACCCCAGAGCAGTAAGGAAAATATACTGAAAAAAGATTACGCAGCCACAAAAATTCCCAACTCCTTCCCAATATGTGAACTGGCTAGACCAGTTGGGGAAGAAGTAGAACTTATATTAATCTTTTGCTAACACATTATGTAATACCATTATTATCTGGTTTTGTGTCTGTCTCTTTCACTCGACTGTGAGCACCCAAAAGGGAAGAGACTTTATCTTATTGCCCTCTGCATCTCCAGGGCCTGGTATATGAAAGGAGCTAAGTGTACGTCATTGATGAATAAATTCCAAGTGCAATCTCAGGTTTTCAAGATGTAAGTGTCACTGTGCAGATGAAACAGACCAAAGATGATGATTTCTTTTCAGCAGATTAAAGATAAGGGCAGCTCTAGCTTGGATTGGGGCCACCCATTGTATCTCTACCCAGAGAAATCCAAATCCATCCAGTTAAACTATTACTTTGTAACACTTGCAACTTCTTTGTTATTATTACCTTATATGTTCCACCTCTGGGTTCAAAGTTTCAGAAAAAGAGTACAGGTTTAAAGTCTTACAGGGGTTAGAGTCTTGGTTTCTTTTCTTTCCCCTTCACTCATCTGATTAAATATTTATGGGAAACTGTTAAATGAGAGGTACTGCACTAAGTGCTGGGGTCACAAAGATAAGTAAGTCATAATTTCTGCTTTCAAACAACCGAAGTCTAGTAAGATAATCATTGTAAACAAACTGTAATGCAGTGGGCTAAATACTATACTAGATATATGCATACAATACAGTGATGGCATAAAATTCTGTCTCTAGTCATTGCTACATTGAGACTGCTAAGTTTCTTCCCTTCTAGTTCTCATTGGTAAAACTGGAATATGACCGTCATGAGGAAGAAAGTTCAAAGGAAACATGAGAATATTATGCAGTTGCAAGGGTTACACACACTTTTCTTGTTAGAAGTTCTTTTCCACTTCCAGACTGCTCTAAGACTTGGCCTCTGCCTCTTGAAATCCCTATTGCTCTTCTTACTCACTTTGGATTACACTCTTTAGGCATTCATGGTATGGAAGTGAGAGGAGCAAAGGAAGGCTGGAAAGGTAAAATGGGAGAATAGGATGGGGCCAGTCCACAGGGTGGGTAAGGAAGGTGGGAAAGAGATGAAGGAAACCTCTCAGGGCACGTTCAGCTTGGGTAAGAAGACAAAGGCTGCAGGAAATGCAGAACAGAGTCTTGAGGGGAAGGAGGGCTAGGAAGGACAGTTCTAGCTCTCCTCAGGCTGACCCCTGTACCTGACACTTCCAGATAACCATCATCATTCAGACGACAGGCCTCAGTCAAAGTGAGAAACAGGCAGCCAATGGGATCCAGAGGGTGCCCCACCCAGCCTTCCAGGTTTGTGATGGTTGTGGTTCCTCTCTGTAACAGTTCTGGAAACAAACAGATCCAAATTTTAGAAAGTGATAGAGACACATTGCTCCCTGTCCCTGTCTGGGTCTCCTCATTAGTCTCTTTTAGGCATTGGCCCTGCAACTTAAAAAAATTCTTCCCTCATTGTTTTGCCTTGGATTCATAGGACTGGTCACAAATTTATCAGCCATAAGGTGTTTTGTTTTTTTTTTTAAGATTTTATTTATTTATTCATGAGAGACAGAGAGAGAGAGAGAGAGGCAGAGAGAGAAGCAGGCTCCCAAGGAGCAGGGAGCCCGATGCGGGACTTGATCCCAGGACCCTGGATCATGACCTGAGCCGAAGGCAGACGCTTAACCATCTGAGCCACCCAGGTGCCCTCAGCCATAAGGTCTTGAGATCTGCATTTAGGCTTCTTGCTCACAGCACACATATGTAAATATAGTTTTACAGTTTAAAGAGGGTCTTCTTATACCAGATCTTATTGGGCCTTCCAACTGCCTGTGAGGGAGGCAGACCAGCATTATTATTCCCATTTTGCAGATTCATAGATTCATAGAGGTAAAGTGAGGCATTCCACACAGCAGGCAGAAAACCCTGAAATTCCCTAGTCCCTGCCACTCCATGAAACTTAATGAAAACCTACAGCCCCTAAAGATCCTTATCAGCCCCAGCCTATGGAGTCAAGATGGCTCCTTATCACTATACCTTTCTTCTGATGCTTGTAGATTTCCAGCTGCCGTTGCTGCTGCAACCTCAGAGTATTGATAATGGCCACTGTGAGTCTGAGGGCCTCTTTTGGATAACCATGGGAGCGCAGAGCATCAACCCGAGCACAGGCTGTAGGCACATGCTCTACCAAATGAGAAGAAAATATTTTGGTTGGGTTAGGTTTTCCAATCAGGATAATTCATGCTTGACAGAGGGAGTTTGTGTTTTGCTCAGTTCCTAAAATTCAACTGACATCTACTGTGTACCAAGACCTATGTTTTATCTTTTAAGAATATAAAGTTGAATAAGTCATAGGCACTACCTTCAAAGAGCTACCATGCAGCCTCTGTCGAATGATACGGTGTAGAAAGGAACACACAACTAGGATAATAAAATGTAGTACCTCCTTGTGAACTGGTACTATGGGAATCCAGGGGAGGTAGCAACCAACTGCCTAAAGAGAAAGGCCTCATTCATTTATTAACCCTACATTTCCTGAGAACCTATTATATGCCAGATTGTTTGCCAGGCAAAGGAAGTACAAAGGTGAATAAGAAATGGTCACTTCCCTCAAAGACCTCACAAATAGTACATAAATAGATTATTATAAAACAGTTAAAAGTAAATGACATGATAGAAATATATACAGAATGCAGAAAAAGCATTTGACAAAGTACAGCATCTTTTCTTGATTAAAACTGTTCACAATGTAGGGATAGAGGGTACATAACTCAATATCATAAAAGCCATCTATGAAAAACCCACAGCGAATATCATACTCAATGGGGAAAAACTGAGAGCTTTTCCCCTAAGATCAGGGACACAGCAGGGATGTCCACTATCACCACAGCTATTCAACATAGTCCTAGAAGTCTGGGCCTCAGCAATCAGACAACAAAAAGAAATAAAAAGCATCCGATTCAGCAAAGAAGAAGTGAAACTCTCACTTTTGCAGATGATATGATACTTTATGTGGAAAACCCAAAAGACTCCACCCCAAAACTGCTAGAACTTATACAGGAATTCAGTAAAGTGGCAGGATCTAAAATCAATGCACAGAATTCAGTGGCATTTCTATACACCAACAAGACAGAAAAAAGTGAAATTAAGGACTTGATCCCATTTACAATTGCACCCAAAACCTTAAGATACCTAGGATTAATCTAACCAAAGAGGCAAAGAATCTGTACTCAGAAAACTATAAAATACTCATGAAAGAAATTGAGGAAGTCACAAAGAAAAGAAAAAATGTTCCATGCTCATGGACTGGAAGAACAAATATTGTGAAAATGTGTAGCTACCTAGAGCAATCTACACATTTAATGCAATCCCTACCAAAATACCATCCACTTTTTTTCAAAGAAATGGAAGAAATAATCCTAAAATTTGTATGGAACCAGAAAAGACCCCGAATAGCCAGAGGAATGTTGAAAAAGAAAAGCAAAGCTGCGGGCATCACAATTCCAGACTTCCAGCTCTATTACAAAGCTGTCATCATCAAGACAGTATGGTACTGGCACAAAAACAGACACTTAGATCAATGGAACAGAATAGAGAGCCCAGAAATGGACCCTCAACTCTATGGTCAACTAATCTTCGACAAAGCAGGAAAGAATGTCCAATGGAAAAAAGACAGTCTCTTCAACAAATGGTGTTGGGGAAATTGGACAGCCACATGCAGAAGAATGAAACCGGACCATTTCCTTACACCACACACAAAAATAGACTCAAAATGGATGAAAGACCTAAATGTAAGACAGGAATCCATCAAAATCCTAAAGGAGAACACAGGCAGGAACTTCTTCGACCTCAGCCGCAGCAACTTCTTCCTAGAAACATCGCCAAAGGCAAGGGAAGCAAGGGCAAAAATGAACTATTGGGACTTCATCAAGATAAAAAGCTTTGGCACAGCAAAGGAAACAGTCAACAAAACCAAAAGACAACTGACAGAATGGGAGAAGATATCTGCAAATGACATATCAGATAAAGGGCTAGTATCCAAAATCTGTAAAGAACTTATCCAACTCAACACCCAAAGAACAAATGATCCAATCAAGAAATGGGCAGAAGACATGAACAAACATTTCTGCAAAGAAGACATCCAAATGGCCAACAGACACATGAAGAAGTGCTCAACCTCACTCGGCATCAGGGAAATACAAATCAAAACCTCAATGAGATACCACTTCACACCAGTCAGAATGGCTAAAATTAACAAGTCAGGAAACGACAGATGTTGGCGAGGATGCGAAGAAAGGGGAACCATCCAACACTGTTGGTGGGAATGCAAGCTGGTGCAGCCACTCTGGAAAACAGTATGGAGGTTCCCCAAAAGTTGAAAATAGAGCTACCATATGACCCAGCAATCTCACTTATGGGTATTTACCCCAAAGATACAAATGTAGTGATCCAAAGGGGCACGTGCACCCCAATATTTATAGCAGCAATGTCCACAATAGCCAAACTATGGAAAGAGCCCAGATGTCCATCAACAGATGAATGGATAAAGAAGATGTGGTATATATATATACAATGGAATATATGCAGCCATCAATAAAAATGAAATCTTGCCATTTGCAACGATGTGGATGGAACTAGAGAGTATTATGCTAAGCTAAGTCAATCAGAGAAAGACAAGTATCATAGGATCACACTGATATGTGGAATTTGAGAAACAAGATGGAGGGTCATAGGGGAAGGGAGGGAAAATGAAACAAGATGAAACCAGAGAGGGAGACAAACCATAAGAGCCTCTTAATCTGAGGAAACAAACTGAGGGTTGCTGGAGTGGAGGGGGGTAGGAGGGATGGAGTGGCTGGGTAATGGACATTGGGGAGGGTATGTGCTATGGTGAGCACTGTGAATTGTGAAGGCTGATGAATCACAGACCTGTACCCCTGAAACAAATTACATTATATGTTAATAAAAAAATTTAAAAAAATAGAGAGAGTATAATATTTGCGCTACACTGTGCAGAACTAGCAAGATTTTAAATAGGTAGACAAAAAGGGAAAGGCATTCCTAGCAAAAAGAACATATAAGCAAATGCATAAATAAAAACATAAAAAGTATTCTATAAAGCATCTTCTGAGTATAACAGTTTTGTGCAGAGTTAAGTTATGTGATCAGAGACTGCCTGGAAACGTAGAGTCTGGGAGGCCATACTAAGGAGACTGGATTTAACTTAAGGATAATGAAGGACCATAAAAGGCTTATAAATGGGCAAGTGATTATGATGAGATTAATGGTTCATTTTGTAATTTTTTTTAATTTAAATAGGCTCCATGCCCAGCATAGAACTCAATGTGGGGCTCTAACTCATGACTCTGAGATCAGGAGCTGAGCTGAGATCAAGAGCTGGATGCTTAACCAACTGAGCCACCCAGGTGCCCCCATTTTGTGATTTATTTTAAAGATAATATTAAAAGTCAGAAATAATTTCAGAAAATCTGAAAGTACAGATAAGCAAAATATAAAATAAAACCCAGATAATCATTATTTCCAGTTTTGTGTGTATGTATGCATAAGTTGTGTATATATTGTGATTGTGTGTGTGTATATATATATATACACACACACACATATATATATCACATGGAATGATATGATTATCATTTCTTAAAAGATGTATTTATTTATTTTAGAGAGAGCATGAGCGGGGGCGGGATCAGAAAGAGGGGGGTGGAGTTCGATCGGTAGCGGGAGCGGAGAGCGGACCCCAGAGAGCCCTGAGCAGCCCCACCACCGCCGCCGGCCTAGTTACCATCACACCCCGGGAGGAGCCGCAGCTCCCGCAGCCGGCCCCAGTCACCATCACCGCAACCATGAGCAGCGAGGCCGAGACCCAGCAGCCGCCCGCCGCCCCCGCCCTCAGCGCTGCCGACACCAAGCCCGGCACCACCGGCAGCGGCGCAGGGAGCGGCGGCCCGGGCGGCCTCACATCGGCGGCGCCTGCCGGCGGGGACAAGAAGGTCATCACAACGAAGGTTTTGGGAACAGTAAAATGGTTCAATGTAAGAAACGGATATGGTTTCATCAACAGGAATGACACCAAGGAAGATGTATTTGTACACCAGACTGCCATAAAGAAGAAGAACCCCAGGAAGTACCTTCGCAGTGTAGGAGATGGAGAGACTGTGGAGTTTGATGTTGTTGAAGGAGAAAAGGGTGCGGAGGCAGCAAATGTGACAGGCCCTGGTGGAGTTCCAGTGCAAGGCAGTAAATATGCAGCAGACCGTAACCAGTATAGACGCTCTCCACGTCGCAGGGGTCCTCCACGCAATTACCAGCAGAATTACCAGAATAGTGAGAGTGGGGAAAAGAACGAGGGATCGGAAAGTGCTCCCGAAGGCCAGGCCCAACAGCGCCGGCCCTACCGCAGGCGACGGTTCCCACCTTACTACATGCGGAGACCCTCTGGGCGTCGACCGCAGTATTCCAACCCTCCTGTGCAGGGAGAAGTGATGGAAGGTGCTGACAACCAGGGTGCAGGAGAACAAGGTAGACCAGTGAGACAGAATAGGTATCGGGGTTATAGACCACGATTCCGCAGGGGTCCTCCTCGCCAAAGACAGCCTAGAGAGGGTGGCAATGAGGAAGATAAGGAAAATCAAGGAGCTGAGACCCAAGGTCAGCAGCCACCTCAACGTCGGTACCGCCGCAACGTCAATTACCGACTCAGACGCCCAGAAAACCCTAAACCACAAAGATGGCAAAGAGACAAAAACAGCCGATCCACCAGCTGAGAATTCGTCCGCTCCCGAGGCTGAGCAGGGCGGGGCTGAGTAAATGCCGGCTTACCATCTCTACCATCATCCGGTTTAGTCATCCAACATGAAGAAATGAAGATGAAATTCCAGCAATAAGAAATGAACAAAAGATTGGAGCTGAAGACCTTAAGTGCTTGCTTTTTGCCCACTGACCAGATAAATAGAACTATCTGCATTATCTATGCAGCATGGGGTTTTTATTATTTTTACCTAAAGATGTCTCTTTTTGGTAATGACAAATGTGTTTTTTTTTTTTTTTTAAAAAACTGGTTTTTCTCAATACACCTTTAAAGGTTTTTAAATTGTTTCATATCTGGTCAAGTTGAGATTTTTAAGAACCTCATTTTTAATTTGTAATAAAAAGTTTACAACTTGACTTTTCAAAAAAATCAACAAACGGCAAGCACCCGTTAATAAAGGTCTTAAATAATAAAAAAAAAAAAAAAAGGAAAGAGGGGGGTGAGAGCGAGAGAGATGGAAGGAAGCTGACTCCCCTCTGAGCATGGAGCCCAAAGTGGGGCTCCATTTTACGACCTTGAGATCATGACCTGAGCCGAAATCAAGAGTCAGACGCTTAACCAGTTGAGCCACCCAGGTGCCCCCATGGGATAATGTTATAATTATTATTTTGTAACTGGGTTTTTCCTCTGAGTAACATATTATAAAATTCTTCTATATCATTAAATATACTTTTATAACATTAAAGATGATGATACATCATTCCTCTGAATATATGTATATTATCCATTGAGTCACTCAATCCCCTATTGTTGGACATTTAGATTATTTCCAATTTTTCTAAACTGTACATTATTTACATCCATGCTCTAATAAAGCCCCTAGCTTTATACATATTCTTAGTTAACTATAGCTCAGGATAAGTTCCTAGATGTAGAATTCCTGGATCAATGGGTATGAATGTATTTTAACAGCTTTTGGTAAGTATTATTGAAATACCCTTCAGATAGGCTATAAGCACTTACATTCCTACAAGTAGTAAATGAGAGTAACTATCTCCATGTAACCTTTCCCACACCATAAACTAATTATCTTTACTTTAAAAATTTCTGACCATTTGACAATCAAAAAATGATAATTCAGCGTTGTTTTGATTTTCACCTTTGTTTACTGATGAGGTGTATATATTTTCACACACTTGTTAGATTGATGTTTTAGATGTGTTGGATCAGAGAAGAGGAAAGATGACCAAAGGAGACTTCAGGTAGTGGCCCAGAGTGAGTTTGGCCAAGGCTTTTAAGAGAGAGATAGGGACATACACATATTCAGCAAGATCTTTTTTATTTTTTAAGATTTTATTTATTTATTTGACACAGAGAGACAGCACGCAAGAGCACAAGCAGGGAGAGCAGGAGTGGGAGAAGCAGTCTCCCCACCGAGCAGGGAGCCTGATTCAGGGCTTGATCCCAGGACCCCAGGATCATGACCTGAGCTGAAGGCAGATGCTTAACCAACTGAGCCACCAAGGTGCCCCTGCATATTCAGCAAGATCTTGAGAAAGACAAAGAAATGGGGTGAAGGATGGAGGTAGGGAATTGGGAGAAGATATAAAAATGTATGTCACTTTTGTAAGACTCAGAAAATGAGTATTTATTAAAAGTGTCTTTTGGAATAGGCATCCTGTGATAAAGTCAAGAAGAGATTGAAAGACAGCCAGAGAAAGGTTTAAATCCACAATGGAACAGCTCTGTTCCTTTATGATGAAGGAAGGAAGGGAAGGTAGAGAGGAGGAAAGGAAGACAGCTTGGTAACAAATGCAGATAGTGCCCTAGCTACTAGTACAGGGTAATTTAAGTTTCAAAGTTCGTGCCTTTTTAGCAAAATATATTAATATCAGAGTAGATTATACTGTTGCTCAGCAACTGCTAAGAGCCTATGAACTGATGTTTAATGGTTTTATTAGTACTCTTTGAGATTTATTAACTCCTTTCCCCTCCTAAAACTCAGGAAACAATACAAATTCCTCTGGTTGAGGTCATTCTACCTCAGCTAAGTACACATGCAAATGGCTGAGGCTTCACATAAATACCCTGAGTCCCTAGTTAAGGCCCCAAAAGATCTGTGCAAATTGTAGTTGTGTTGCCAGCACCTATGCAGTTCTGGCCTGGCACAGGGTAAGACTGCACTCTGAAATTCTTAGAGTAGAGGAGAGGTACACTTACCAAGCCACAGTGGCTGGCCTTGGGAATTAAACAGTAGTCTCTCACTTTCCTGCTGGCAGGCAGGAGCTGTATATATATCGCTGCTTATTATTCGCTGTAAGTGGCTGTCCTGCCAATGTAACTCACGGCCCTCGATGGCTCTAGTGAACACTGTTCGTCTTGGCCTGGATAAGGAGTCTGGGAAAAGAAAGACATGCAGCAGTTCAGTGACAGATAATCTGAAGCTCTAACTCTTATGTCTTCTTCAGAGTGGGAGGATGAGAAGAATAGTATGTGGTTAGTGAGAGCAGCCACTCTGCCATCTGTCTGGGTGCTTGTTGTGCTGCCTCTCTATTGGATAAGCCCTTAATGTGTCTGTGCCCTCTATGGGAAGAACCATTCTACTGAGACCTATGGCTGCCTTTCCACCTCTACAGAAGACCAATTTCTCCTAGGACTGAGAGCCCCATGAAAGAGAAGAGGGACAGTGGTGCTCAGCTGCTCAATTATGAGGATACCAACTGCTTCTACAGAACTCAGAGGAAGAGAGAAGCAGCTGGGGAATTTCCCTGGCCAATCCATAACGTGTCTCATTTACAGCATGACCCTTATCAGACTAAGGACTCCATGTAATTGATATTAAAAGCTGGAAAAGGGCAGATGCCCTGTGTACTCTGGTCCCTTTATCACACTGATATCTATAGGCTTACAATCTTGTTCTTTAATATGAAAAACTGCTGCTGACAAAAGACTAATTAAATTAACATGGACTCTTACCATGCCATCTCTCTTCAGGAAAAGGTGTGCAAGGAAACCAAAACAGTTTAGACAAAGTAGGCTCAATTCTTAAGGGTGGTATGGAGGAAGACCAAATGAAAGATACACCGTCATAAACTGTAGAGATAGAAGGACTCACAGAAATTACATTTAAGGAAATTAAAAAAAAACATAAAGGATTATTTAATTGACTCACTGCCAGATTAAGGGCAATTGGAACTATTTTGGGATCAAGGACTAAAGTACTATACAGATGTTTCCAGAAATGCCCAAATGAGGTGTACGTCCACTGAGCCTGTGCAAAAAAAACTGGGAGGGAAAGCCAGAGGATTCAGAATGAACATGAAAGAAATGAACATATTCATTCATTAAGCAAAAGTCCTTAGAATATGTTAATCTCTTCAGAATTTGATATATTTCATAGAGTATGGGCTTAGAGGTTAACTTAGAATAGCATGACAGTATCTACTGAAATTTCTCCCTCATGTTGTCCCTCAGTAGAAGCATAGTGTACCTCCTACTGGCTACAGTCTAAACCCCTCTCTTGCTGAACTGAGACTCTACCTTGGGTCTGCTCAGCCCACAGTGGGGATTAGGCTCCCAATATTCATCACATCTGCAAATAATGAGTGCCTACACATGGCAGGTACTTGTTCTAGGTGCTGAGGATATATAAAATCCCTGCCTTCATGGAACTTTACATTTAAATGAGCAGAGATAGTTGAATAAATATACAGTATACCAGATATTTCAGATGGTTATGAGTGCTATAGAAAAGACTAAAGCAAAATTAGGGAGAAAGACAAGCTGGTGTTGGGTGGGGGTTGTTGTTTTACATAGAATGGTATCGAATAAGGTAACATTTGAACAGAAACTTCAAGCCTTAGAGATAACTAAGGGAAGAGTGTTCCAGGCAAAAGAAATAGCAAATGCTAAATCCTGAGGTGGGTACGTATTTGGAGTGTTTGAGGTAATGAGGAGGCCAGTATACTTAGAATGGAATGAGCAAACAGAAAAACTCATAGTAGATGAGGTCAGGGAGATACTAGGAAGCCAGATCATTGAGGACCTTACAGGCCATGAGTGAACAATGAGAAGCCACCAGAGGGCTTTGAGTTTTTGAAGGTATATAATGTGACCTGCTTTTTAAAAGGATAACTGGCAGCAGTATTGAGAACAGACCATGAGGTGGAAGGGCAGAAGCGGGGGGGGGGCAGTTAGGAAGTCACTGCAATAATTTGTGAAAAATGATGGCAACTTGGCCAGAGTAAAAGCAGTAGAGGTGATAAGAATATATGGATTCTGTTGGACAGAAGACATGAATAGATACTTTTCCAAAGAAGACATCCGGATGGCTAAAAGACACATGAAAAAATGCTCAACATCATCATCATCGGGGAAATACAAATCAAAACCACAATGAGATACCATCCCATACTTGTCAAAATGGTTAAATGTAATAACATAAGAAACAACAGGTGTTGGCAAGGATGCAGAGAAAGGGGAACCCTCTTGCACTGTTGGTGGGAATGCAAACTGGTGAAGCCACTCTGGAGAACAGTTTGGAGGTTCCTCAAAAAGTTAAAAATAGAACTACCCTAGGGCGCCTGGGTGGCTCAGTTGGTTAAGCAACTGCCTTCGGCTCAGGTCATGATCTTGAAGTCCCGGGATCGAGTCCCACATCGGGCTCGAGTCTGCTTCTCCCTCTGACCCTCTTCCCTCTCGTGCTATCTCTCATTCTCTCTCTCTCAAATAAATAAATAAAATCTTTAAAAAAATTTAAAAAAAATCTTAAAAAAAAATAGAACTACCCTACGACCCAGTAATTGCACTACTAGGTATTTTCCCAAAGGATACAAAAATACAGATACGAAGGGGTATATGCACCCCAATGTTTATATATAGCAGCACTATCAACAATAGCCAAACTATGGAGAGAGCCCAAATGTCCATCAACTGATGAATGGATAAAGAAGATGTGCTATAGACAGACAGACAGACACACACACACACACACACACACACACACACACACACTGGACTATTACTCAGCCATCAAAAAGAATGCAATCTTGCCATTGGCAATGATGTGGATGGAGCTAGAGTGTATTATGCTAGGTGATATTTCAGTCAGAGAAAGACAAATACCATATGATTTCACTCATATGTGGAATTTAAGAAACAAAACAGATGAACATATGGGAGGCGGGGAAGAAAAGTAAGAAGAGAGAGGGAAACAAACCATAAGATACTCTTAATGATAGAGAACAAACTGAGGGGCGATGGAGGGAGGTGGGTGGGGGATGGGCTAGAAGGGTGATGGGCATTAAGGAGGGCACTTGTTGGGATGAGCACTGGGTGTTGTACGTACGTGATAAATCACTGAATTCTACTCCTGAAATCAATATTGCATTGAATGTTAGCTGAGTAGAATTTATGTAAAAATCAGAAAAAAAGAAAAAATATATGGATTCTGGATATATTCTGAAGGTAAAACCAATAGGATTTGCTCATGGTTTAGATCTTGAGTGAGAGAGAAAAAGAATCAAGAATGACTCCATGGTTTTTAAGATAGACTTGTCATACTGGGGATAGGGAGACTATAGGAGGAGCAGGTTTAGGTGGGGCTTGATAGATAAGAAATCTAAGTGGAGATATTGAAAAGGCAGTTAAGCATACAAGTCCGGAATTGGGAGTTAAAGTCTGGTCAAGGGATATAAATTTGGGAGTAGTTAGTATACAGATGATTTTCAAAACAAGGCAATCACCAAGGGAATATGTATACGGAGAGAAGTGGTTTGATGACTGAGCCCTAGGCACTCTAACATTTTAGGTTAGGAAGTAGGGAGAAGACAGTAAAGGAGGTTGAGAAGGAGGAACCAATGAAGTAAGAGCAGAACCAAGAGAGTAGTGTCTTGGAAATAACATGAAAATGGTGTTTCAAGGAGAAAATAAACAATTATAACAAATACTGCTGATAGGTCAAGTAAGATTATGAGTGAGAATCAGCTAGTAGATTTGGCCATTTTTAGCATCAGTGACCCATACAAGAGCAGTTTCAATAGTGGAGGGATGAAAGCTGACCAGAGTGAGTTCAATGGAGAATATGAGCAGAAGCAGAGACGATAAATATGTACTATTCTTTTAAATTATTTGTCTTTTTAAAATAATTTTTAATTTTTTTTTAAAGATTTTATTTCTTTATTTGACAGAGAGACACACAGCAAGAGAGGGAACACAAGCAGGGGGAGTAGGAGAGGGAGAAGGAGACTTCCTGCGGAGCAGGGAGATCGATGCAGGGCTTGATCCCAGGACCCTGGGACCATGACCTGAGCCGAAGACAGACACTTAATGACTGAGCCACCCAGGTGCCCCTTAATTTTTAATTTTTTAAAGATTTATTTGACAGAGAGAGAGACAGGGAGAGCAGGAACACAAGCAGGGGGAGTGGGAGAGGGAGAAGCAGGCTTCCCACCGAGCAGGGAGCCCGATGCGGGGCTCGATCCCAGGACCCTGGGATCATGACCGGAGCCAAAGGCAGACACTTAACGACTGAGCCACCTAGGCGCCCCTAAATTATTTTTCTTAATTCTACCACTTATTTCTACTACCTCAGGGAAACAGGGTAATAGCCAGAGAGGCATACGGGAACAACATGAGTGTGTTTTGTTTTGTTTTGTGATGAGAGAGAAGGCAATATACTTGTATACTAAGGAATAATCCACAAAAATTGGTGAAGCAGGAGAGAGAGAAGATAATTCCTGGAGCGATGTCCTGGATAAAAGAAAAGGAATAGGATCTTGAGAATAGGTAGAGGGCTCAGGGTTAGAAACACAAATAAAAACAGGGGAAGAAGAAGACTGGATGGGCACAGACAGAGGCAGATGTAGTGAGAAAGTCTTGGAAATTCTCTTGTGATTGCTTCTATATTCTCAATGAATAGGAAGCAAGGTTATCAGCTGAAAGGGAGGAAGGGGAGGAAATAAAGTTTTCAGGGAAAGACATGAAATAGTAATTTAGAAGAGTGAAAGAAAGCACAGATTAGGGGAATGTGGTGGATCTCCGGACAATACTATGGACCCATTTGGAATCAGTGGTCATAAACTTCAAGTGAGACCAGTTACCATGCTTGTGTTTCTCTTCACTATGTTCAGCAGTGTGGGCATGAGCACTGAGGAATTAAGAGAGTGAGACTTAACTACTAAGGTCAGTGTTTTGCTATATCTGTGTGAAGTAAAGGGAAAGAGGAGGTTTATGTGAGGGGAGTGATTATAATGACTCACCAAGGAATCTAATGGAGATAAGGAGGAAAATGAGGCTACCAGGAGAATGAAAAGGTCTTAGGATCAAAAGTCCTACTAGGTCAAAGAATTATTGGAACTGCGATACTAGAGAAAATAAGTTAGCAAGACTGATGATGA